ATGTTTTATAATTTTTACATAAACCAAACACATGTGGATATAACTCGGTACAATATAAATTGTAAGCTTTATAAAAATCTACTTTGAACTGAGCAGAAGATTAGATCAGGTAATAAAATACTATTGCCACATGTGAACTTTTTTATTATTATTATTATTACTACATTCTAACTATTAATACAGTTTAATATATCTAGCTTTAGTTTAGCTGAAATGGTCTGTGGTAGTTTCCATCAGTTTTGCTTCTTGAAAATGTTGAAATTTAATTTTCTTCCCCTTATCTTATCAACTGGGGTCATATCATCATGGAAGCATCCACCATCATTGCATGTCTGAGGAAGCACTAAAATCCACTTACCTACCATCTAGTTTGATGCAATCCATCCATCATTTCCTCAGCATCTCTATTCTATCCTTTCCTGCCATACTATCTTCACCAGGTCACCTTCATTCCTCCTCTGCATGTGTCCAAACCAACAAAGTAATGCTTCCTTGATTTGTCAGCCACATCTCAGACTTGGATTTCCATCCTAATACTTTCAGTTAGAAACCTGTGTCCTCATGTAAGCCCTCTTGTGGCATGAAGACATCTCATCTCAAACATCTGTAGGTATTGAACCTGCCATCTCTTTATCGCTCAGGCTTCTGCACCATACAGCTTTGTGAGGCACACCATTGTTCTATACAGTTGGGCTTTTAGGCTCAGTGGCATATGCTTGTCTTCCACAACCCCTGAGATGTTATTCCATACACTTCCACCCTCCCTAATCTGGACTGTAGTTCATATTCAAGTTTGCTGTCTTCTGTGACCCAGCTACCAAGGTACCTTCTGTCCACTGTATTGTATACTTTTTCTACATCTATAAAAGCCCAGAAGCTATCCTGTTGGTAGTCTAGCCACTTCTCTATTCCTTACAAATTACAAACATGGCATCTATGGTTCCTCATCCCTTCCTAAAACTGATTGTTCTTATTCAAAGAGGGATTCCACCATTTTTCTAATTCTATTGTCCATGATATGTTCCAGTATCTTCATCCCATGCAACAATATCTTTATCCCTCAATATCTCCACATTGATGGATGCTTCCCTCCTTATGTACTGGGACCAGGATAGATTTGCACCAGTCTTCAGGAATTTTCTTGTCTCACTATATGGCTTTAACCACTCTACTCATTATTTTATACAGTATAACCTCAGAGTTACAAACACCTTGGGAAGGGAACTGGTTTGTAACTCTGAAATGTTTGTAACTCTGAACAAAATGTTATGGTTGTGCTTTCAAAAGTTTACAACTAAACATTGACTTAATACAGCTTTGAAACTTTACTACGCAGAAGAAAAATTCTGCTTTTAACCGTCTTAATTTAAATGAAACAAGCACAGAAACTGTTTCCTTGCCTTGTCAAATCTTTTTTTAAACTTTCCATTTATATGTTTAATAGTTTACATTTAACACAGTACTGTACTGTATTTGCTTGTTTTATTTGTCTCTGCTGCTGCCCGATTGCGTACTTCCAGTTCCAAATGAGGTGTGTGGTTGACTGGTCAGTTCGTAACTCTGATGTTCGTAACTCTCAGGTTCTACTGTACCTCTCTCATGTAAGACTTTCACCATGTCTACTGGAATTTCATCAGGCCTTACCATTTTTCATTTCCTGGACTGCATTTCTCACCACCTCCTCTTATGTTAGGTTCAGGCACCACATTAGGGTTACAAGTTGGCAACTCCACCCTAAAGGGATTTGCCTCATTTAAGAGACTCTCAAAGTATTGTTTGCATCTCTCTTTCACTTGTTCAGGTGTTACCAGCAGTCTCCCCGATCATCAATTACATTCCATACTTCTCTTTGAGTCTCTTTTTTGCAGTGCTATGTATCTTTTTGCCAGCAAACTGTGCGTTGTTTAAAAGCTTGGCATACAAATTCTCTAGGGCACTCTTCGGCCTCCTTCACTGCCTGCCTGGCAGCTCACTTTGCTTCTTTGTATTTGTTTACACTTGTTTACCGTCTCAGTATTTAAGCAAGTTGATGTTTAACAAGTTGCTTAAATACATAGATTGATTTCACTTGGAATACTCTCATAACGTTGGTTTTACTCCTGGAAAAAAAATCTCTTAACATAGGCATTGGTCAAATAAACTAAAAATCAAGCTGTGTTGGGCATCAAAGGTAAACCATGATGGAACTTTCCTGGATAGAAGTGGAAGGGAAGAAAAATGTTAGACTTTTGAGAAGGGAATGAACTATATTGTGTATGAATGCCCCAGTAAAACTTCTAGGTTTGAAATACCTGGCATTACATTGGTAAGACAGACATTTTTATCCTTCTACCATTTCCATTATTATTTCTTAAGCACCTTTACAAGACACAAAGGTCCTGATCCAGAGCCCATTGAAACCATTAGGCTTTGGATCAGGCAAAGACCAGACAACACAGAAAAGACAGGACATACTGGAGAGCCTAGAGGAAGAAATAACCTGGAGGTTATGTGTTACATTGCTTTGATCGGTTCAGAAACATTGCTCATTTCAATAATGTTTGCTTCCCAAATTAATAATTTCCATTGGGTGTGGAAATGCTTTACTTTCTTTTTTTATCTCCTTGCATATTTCATCAAGTTTAATTATTCCAAAAGTTCCATAAACAGAGTTTCCAAAGGTATTACCTGTTACACATTTTCAGAATAGGACTACACCATAAAACTCACTGTAACTTCTACTATGTAGCATAAGCAACTAGATAAGCAGGTTGTTTTGTATTATTTATTGTGGTAGGATAGTCTGTTCTGTACAATCGGCTTTTGGTGATTGAAATATTAAGTAAATAAATAGATTCTTTCCATTGATTGGGCCAAATTTTCAAAACATAATTTGTATGTGTGTGCAAACAACTTTGAACACTCAATCACTTGGGCACATAATTTCTGTACACTAATGCTTTTGCACACAAATAAAAAATGTACACGCACAAACCCATGTTATGTGGACAAATGAAGCACAAATGGGTTTTACATACAAAAATGCTATGAAATGTATGTGCAAGTTATAGTATATGCTCCTTAGGGCAGGGGCCATCTTTTGTTACATGTTATGTTCAGCATAAGACGACCCCGACTGAGGCCTCTAGCAACTCCTGCAATTCAAATAAAAATATTTATGAGTGCAGTTATTGTGCATGCATAAATGAAGGCTAGGCTAAGGTTTCTGAAAATTTTACCTTTAAAATAGTGCTTTTCAATCCAAGGATCTCAAAGCATTTTGTCAAAAGATAATCAATCAATCCTCACAATACCCCAGTGAAGCAGGCAATTTATATCTGTTTTACACCTGGGTAAAATGAGGGGAAAGAGATTATGTGACTTGTAACAGCAGGTTAGAGGCAGTGTAAGAAATAGAACACAGAAGTCCTAGAATGTGGTATAGACTTGTAGTGCAAAACTATGTGATGTCAGAATGTCTTCCCAAAAATCAAACGAATGCTTGCAGCCTCCTGCACACTTTTATTACCAGGTAAAGTGCCTTCAAGAGGACTATGGTAGTAAGCACTGCACCCAGTAGCAAGTGTTTTCAGGATCAGCCTCTAAATTATTTTTGATGGCATACAAAACAGAACAAGAATTATGAAGACTAAAACAACTGCTAAATCTGTTACTAATGGCTGACTGGAAATACTGCAACGTATCAAAAAATGCTTGCAACATAGAAAAATATGCAACATGAAAGCCAAGATGGTATTTTGAAACAATTCCCATAATCTACAAATCTTTATGTAACAAAGTACATTTGAAATATTGAATACATGGGATCTAAAAATAATTTTTATTTTCTGTTAAGTTAAATCTTGGTAAAGTCCTAATAACAAGTTCTTCGGATGTCTGCCCTAAAATACTTATTAATGAAGAGTAGAATAAATTTTGATAGGGTAATCACATTAATTTCAGATTGGATACATTGTTAGGACAATTTATGGATCCCTACATAATATATTGTTGCATCTTGCAGACAGTGGTATTTTAATCTATTTAAAAGAATAATAAAGATAAGCCAAAATATCCATATTTGTGCTTTACCAGCTTCTTTCTTGGACAGTTACAGAGCTAAATTAATCCCTGTTGTAACTCCATTGACGTCAATGGAGTTTGTTCAGGGATGAATTTGGCCCATGAATTTCCAAAAAATTCTC